TAATTGCTTGCCAATTCCTCGACTTGTCCTTCTGACTCTTTCCACATTTTCTGGACATTCCTGACCTGAAACAGGACTTCCCAGATTCGGAGGATGCAGATTGGGACATAATGGATGCCAATCTTGACTGAACAAGGAGGGTTGTTGTGGTCAGGATCATACTCAGAGATAAGTTTCTTTATGGTGGGGAGGGATGGACTGGGGATGTTGCGGAGGTCGCTTTTGGCTAACTCTGTGATGGAGGGTGGGTGATGACTGAGACATGTGGATATTGTTTGTAAATTTGTCTGGATAGTTGGGAGCTTAAACCGGAGAAATTCAGCAACACACAGGGTTCCCTCAGGAAAGTATGGCCCGATAAGAGCACTTGGGATGTCACTATACAAGATGGGCTCATCTGTGCAAGAGCAAAAGCATCCATAAGTGAATTCCCAGCTCAAAGAAAATTTTTGCGAAGATGGCAAGCATATTTTCAAATTAATTACATTAAAGCTAAATGTGACCACTGGCACACTGCTTCCTATCTGAGTCACGCCCCCAATGGGTTGGGTGTCACACATCAAAATGAGGTGCCGGTTCATCATTTTGTGTCACGCTTGGGACCCTGCCGGTTGTTGGTCATGCACGTACAGTAATCCTGATATAAATTGGAGTAGCAGCTCCATCCGGTTTGCTTGCTGCAATTCTGACCACTCACATGCCATTTGGTCAAAATCAGGAAATGTTGGTCCTATTGACATTGCAATGCTTTCAGCTTGTGATTTCTTTAGAATCAACGATGTTTCTCAATTTGGCCTTCTTGCTTATGATCCAACTCCAGTCTCAGTCCTTGGTGCTACAACCATGCCTTTGGGTTCAAAGGACATTCCCCAGCCCTCAGATGTTCCCATTGCATCTAAGGTCCCAGCTAAATATCACAAATTCCTGAAAGTCTTTGTCAACAAAGAAGCCACAGAGCTTCCTCCCCATCGTCCTCATGATATAGGAATCGAGTTGGAAGAAGGGAAAGTTCTGCCCTTCGGACCAATTTACTCATTGACGGACAAGGAGAGGGAAGTTTTACGGGCTTATCTAGCTGACAATCTAGCGAAAGTGTCATATCCCGGAATCCCGACCCCGTGCACTCCCACCACATCACACCTTCCTAACAACTTCACCATCCCCTACACCTTGCCTCCCCACTCTCCAAGTCACCTTCCCTCCTGACTGTCTCAGCTCCGGTCTGGTTGCGGCACACCGAACCTTGGCCACTCCCATCCCGGAACCTCGGTCCCGAGTCGGAACATTCGGAGATCCCGGATTTGCTCCGATATCCTGATGGACCTCCGACATCCTGTGACATGCCCTTAAACCCTTCCTCCACCCATTTCATTTATTTGAGTCACCCAACATCCTTCGGATACGCAACTCCGCTTTCGGAGCTACCCGCATCCTTCGGTGATCTCCCTCACGTTATCACTTATTAGTCATCTCCCATTCTTAGCACGACTACCTTCTTACTACCATTCAGTCGGCTAACCCCCTTTATCCATTTGTCTTCCCCATTCATTTTCCGGCCTCCAACTCCGCCCTCCTTGGCCCGACACCTCGGTTCCCCGTTTTAGATATCGTTCGGAACCTTTCGGTACCTTTCGGTGTTTTCCCCATCTTGTCATTTCGGGCTTTGATTAAAGTCCTCCCCATCCTCCTTTATAAATACACGTAGATTAGAACCTGTAGTTCCTTAGTTCTAATCTCAACTAAAATGCCACCCAAAGTCCCTCTGAGTGATTCCTGTCCCTGTTCTACAAGACACCTCAGACATAAGAAATACAAGGACTAACTGAGACGTAACGGAGGCACAGCGCTCCCTCCGAGTCGCTGAGGCCGCATCCTTCTTAGAGCCTCTTGTACCATCCAGCAGAACCGGGCTCCCTGAGAAGCTTCGGTTCACTACCGGAGCCCTCGGACCCCCCTCTAGTTGAGCCCCGCCTGCATTCGGACTCACGCATTTACCCCTCTTCCACAACCTCCGGGGTTTTTAACAGAAAGGGTTTATCCAGCCCTCCACCTCCTCTGCTGCCTCGCCAATTTTGTTTGTGAAGAAAGCAAACAGATCGCTAAGGTTATGTGTGGATTATCGGGGTTTGAATGCGATTACGAAATGGAATCGCTATCCACTGCCGCTTGTCAACGACCTTTTGGAGGCAATCCGTGGTTGCAAAGTATTCACCAAGACCGACCTGAAATCTGCATTCAATCTGCTTCGAGTCACTGCCAGGGATGAGTGGACAACCGCATTTAGGACAAATGAAGGGCTGTTCAAGTATTTGGTCATGCCTTTTGGTCTCACAAATGCTCCCGCAGCATTTCAGAGTTTTATCCAATGGGTTTTACACAAATATCTGGGAATCTTTTGCATGGTCTATCTTGACGACATCTTGATCTTCTCACAGTCCCAGGAGGAACATGATCAGCATGTTTTAAAAGTGTTACGGGCCCTTAGTGAACATGGGCTGCTTGCCTCAGTGGACAAATGCAAGTTTGACAAGGATGCGTTAGAATATCTGGGATTTATTATTGGACGAGAAGGCATTTCCATGCATCTGAAGAAGCTCGAGACAATTATTTCTTGGCCAGTACCGAAGTCAACGAAGGAAGTGCAATCTTTCCTTGGTTTTGCAAATTTTTATCATCAGTTTATATCCCATTATTCCAAAATCGCATCTCCCCTCATTGAGGTCACCAAGGAGGGTCCTCTTGAAAGGTTTCCGCTCAAGGGAGATGCATCGGAAGCATTTAATAGTCTGAAGAGAGCATTCACAACGACACCTGTCCTTGCCCATCACAATCCTAGCCTTCCTATCTTCCTGTTCACTGATGCATTGGATTTCACGATTTCAGGGATCCCCCACCAGCCGGATGAATCAGGGAACCTACACCCATTAGCATATTTTTCAAAGAAATTATCTGAATCCGAGATCAACTACAGCATCCATGATAAGGAAATGTTGGGGATTATGGAATCATTCCGGGAGTTTAGGCCATGGTTGTCTGGAACAACTATCCCAATATCTGGCATTTCGGACCACAAGAATCTGGAGTATTTTATGACTTCACAACGTCTGAATCGCCGGCAAGCTAGATGGACTTTGGAATTGGCTGAGTACAACTTCAAATTGTCCTACACTCCAGGTGCAAAGAATCCTGCCGATCCTCCATCTTGACGACCAGACTTCGTAGTGGGTGATGGAGATGTTCTGAAGGACTAATATGTGCAGAGGTTGTTATCTCCCTACCACACGGAGAGATTGTGGTCCAGCGATGCGGCATCCATTTCTGCTGCAGTCTCGAATCACATGGTCACATCAATCCAAACTATTCAATCATACTTGTCCAACGAAGAATTTAAGGAAGCTCTTTCCAGGGACGAGACCTGGAAGGATGCTTCTAGGTTGGATAAGGATAATTGGAAAGTGATCGACAGGGTTGTTTTGTATCAGGATAAAATCTACATTCCACCTGATTTGCATCTGATTATCATATCCGAACACCATGATAGTCCCCTAGCAGGGCATTTGGGCCTGGCAAAGACTACAGTCATTCACCCCCCAATGGTGCAGATTTCACTAATCCGGGCCTCAGTGTAACGAAGTTCCATGAAAAAAATTGATAAATTTGAATAACATGAAGAACATAAATATGAATCAGTGGCCGGCAATATTTTGAGTGGAGTCCTGTCATGAAGTGAGTACGGGAGTATGAAATGGGTGCTTTCACCCCTCAGTGGTATCCTGTGACAGAGTGTGACAGTGCATTTGCATGCTCATGTTGGACCCCTGCTGACCCCATCAGCCACTTGTTCAGCACACCCTGGCACCTCCGGCATTGCAGGGGGCTTGTTCTGCTGGAGCTGTGGATAATTCTGAGCCATCCAACCCCTCATTCAGATTTCCGATGGCTTTGCTGGCACTCTTTGTTTGAGCACAACTGTGAGGCCCCAGCCCATGTCTATATTCCGCCCACAACATCAGTTGATGTTGTGTTGTCTAATAATTATGTCGCAACGCTAATTTAGCGTCGTGGAAGCTTCTCTATTTATTTGTGCCGAGAATGCATTAGATTGTATATAAACCCTCGGGGTAGCTGTAAAAGGCGGATCAGCCTTTACTTCTACCCCGTTAATATACAGCAAATCAAAGCGTATAATCAGACGGACAACTGAGGCCTGAGGCGAATGGGGGAACAGAACGTTACCATCCCCAAAATAGTAAGATACCTTTCACTTTTATATGCTCTATTCTCTTTTCCATTCTCGGCACCGCGTTACCAGCGCCGAAACCCCATTTGGCAACATGCATGTCGTCGGCCCCTGACAACGCGCAACTTCGATCAAGTTCTCACGCTGTAACGGGTCTATCGCCTAGACTTGAGACAGAGAGAAGGGGGAGGGTGGTAGTGTGTGCGGGTGTGGTTCGTGGAGCCGGGTTTTGGTCCTGGGGCACTACTGAGTCTGCAAAAACCTCAAACAAACACTCACCTACATCTCTCTTGGACGTCAAGGCTGAGTATTATGATGAGAGGGGTCTTAGACATGAGCAACAATCTCAAGGGGGGTGTTAGGGTCATGGATGGCACCTCTGCCACTTGGATGCAACTTCTGCTTGTCCCTTCACAGGTCTATTCAGTACTAACTTGTTATGTACAAGCTGTTATCTAGTTTATATATGTTTGAAATGGAATGAATGGCATGGGGGAATGTAAATGGGCTGTTAGGCAACCGTAAATGATGAATATCCAATTGGCAGGTGGCTATGTCCCGTTTGGGGGGAATGCATATGGTTGCATGATATAGGAGTGATGGGGTATGAGTGGTCAAATGGGGGTGGCACTGCCACCACCCACTAAGGTGTCAAAGGTGGGAGGCTCACCGCTTAGGCTTGATACGGATGATGGTGCCTCCGACAGTGCCCGGGACGTTGGACCTTCATTCACAGTGAGGTGCATACTTCCATTAATCTTTAACACTGGTTGAACTTTGAGGGGAGTACTATGCGGTGTTGGATGGATGAGCCTAATTGGAGGGATGACCATTGGCATATGTGATTCCGGAACGGCTTGCTCCATGAAGACGTCGTTTCTGGGTCATCAGGGAGTTTCAGCCCACATCCTTGCTGGAAGCCTGAGCATACACCCGATGGGAACATTGTCAGGTTTATTGCCTCTAACTTTACTGATGATGATGAAGACCCGCCTGGTTCAGGTGAGTTGTGAGGTGGTGTCTCGGGTACGATGCCATCATCCTGTGGACCTTTCACCTCGTTCTCTGGTACCGCAGCTTCATTCATTTGGTTGTGGCCCCCAGGTGTCACACGGGGGGGTTTTGCCTTCGTGAGGGTGCGTGTGCGAGTGGCTTTGGACTTCTTGCATTGCTTGGGAGATGGGGATGATATTTGATTATCACCAACTGAATCTCCTTCCATCTCCACAGTTGGGGAGTTTGGCATGCTTTCCTTACGTTTTTGGGTTCGTGCGGGACGACCGCTGTCCTCACAATTGCCCTCCTTGTCTCATGTTCAGGCAATAGGTATTTCGTAATATTCCCTTTCGCATCTGGTGCATAGTGTAGCACCTCATGCATCAGGTACTCGTCTGGTAAGCCCAAACCGGTGAGCTGTGTTTTTTTTTGAAGTTTCATTGACATTTTCCTCACCATCTGTCATTTGTTCCACCCTCAACATCTGCTCCGGATCCTGGTGAGTGAGCTGCATTATACACCGTGCAGACTCGCGTGGGGTCCAATCACATGGTAGTGACTTGTTCAAGTGTGGGACACCACGATGCCAACCAACAAAACGGAGACGATGCTCAAGCATGAATGAAAGTATGTTGGCAACTCTCCAGTTGTGCCCAAGCTCAGTTATCCCTGTTGCCTCCACTACAAGTAGATGTCAGATGAGCAATCAGACGGCACGGCAAAAGGACATATGAATGATTGCTTTAAGCCACCCAGCACACTCAGTGTGGCATTGGGGATGCGAGCTGTAGGTCTTGTCTGCAAAGGCGAGGCCTTCCTTCCTTTTTAATGCGGGTGTGTGGTAATCCATGTCATTCGCATCGCCCTCAACCTCTGATTTGATGGCCGTGTTTCCCGTTCCATTTCCCAAATACCTGTCCAGATCATTGCTGAAATGGACACTTTGCTTCATGTGCATCATGATGGTCTTCATGAGGCTTGAGGCACCAAACACCTTGCTGGTAGATTTATTGGGGTTCGTAAACACCCCAAGATGTTGAAGAAAGGTTCTGCGCCTATTTCAGCCAATGCGGGCTAGGAGACAAATTGCTCATACCTCTGTTTAATGGTGTTGGGTTGATATGGGCTGGAAGGATATGAGTAAGTTATTTGTGCCTTTCCTGCATAAACCTTGTACCTGAATGCCTTTATCCCGTCGTAGAAGTTCCTCATGGCTAAGGCACTATCCTCTGTGAGGGGTAGGCCCATAGCTTTGACCATTTCCGCAATCATTGGTGAGCTCGTAAATGCGATAGTCGAATCCCAAGGGGCAAGCTTGTCATCTGCTATGAACCCCACTAACACCACCCCAACAGGATGAATGGAGCTGAGTGCAGCGAGCTATCAGCAAATTTTTCAGTACAATCGATTGTGATAGTTACTGGATTCTGTACTATACCTGAGCAGCATATTTTCTCGTTATTTTCTGCAACAGATAAAGGCCTTCATTTGGTTGAGCCTCCCTCTCGTCCTTCGATAAAACAAGGTCCCTGCAATGTATCAGAATTTTATCATAGAATGCTTTTGCTTCTTCTGCCTGGTCAGGGTACTTCCTATCGATATCCTGTTGCTGTAATTTATGCAGGCATTGTTAAAAACCCGGGTTGTGGGAGAGGGGATAAAATGCGTGAGTCCGAATGCAGGCGGGGCTCAACTAGAGGGGGGTCTGAGGGCTCCAGTAGTGAACCGAAGCTTCTCAGGGAGCCCGGTTCTGCTGGATGGTACAAGAGGCTCTAAGAAGGACGCGGCCTCAGCGACTCGGAGGGAGCGCTGTGCCTCCGTTACGTCTCAGTTAGTCCTTGTATTTCTTATGTCTGAGGTGCCTTGTAGAACAGGGACAGGATTCACTCAGAGGGACTTTGGGTGGCATTTTAGTCGAGATTAGAACTGAGGAACTACAGGTTCTAATCTACGTGTATTTATTAAAGGAGGATGGGGAGGACTTTAGTCAAAGCCCGAAATGACAAAATGGGGAAAACACTGAAAGGTACTGAATGATACCGAGAGGTACCGAAAGGTTCCGAACGATATCTAAAACGGGGAACCGAGGTGTCGGGCCAAGGAGGGCGGAGTTGGAGGCCGGAAAATGAATGGGGAAGACAAATGGGTAAAGGGGGTTAGCCGACTGAATGGTAGTAGAAGGTAGTCGTGCTAAGAATGGAAGATGACTAATAAGTGATAATGTGAGGGAGATCACCAAAGGATGCGGGTAGCTCCGAAAGCGGAGTTGCGTATCCGAAGGATGTTGGGTGACTCCAATAAATGAAGTGGGTGGAGGAATGGTTTAAGGGCATGTCACGGGATGTCGGAGGTCCGTCAGGATATCGGAGCGAATCCGGGGTCTCCGAATGTTCCGACTCGGGACCGAGGTTCCGGGATGGGAGTGGCCAAGGTTCGGTGTACCGCAACCAGACCGGAGCTGAGACAGTCAGGAGGGAAGGTGACTTGGAGAGTGGGGAGGCACGGTGTAGGGGATGGTGAGGTTGTTAGGAAGGTGTGATGTGGTGGGAGTGCACGGGGTCGGGATTCCGGGATATGACAGGCATGCTGCTTCTTGACTGTCAATTCCAGCTAGGAAATGATTAGTTCCTAATATCTTGCGAGTATGTGGTTAACTTACGGTGAAGCTTAAGCCATGTTTGCCAAGCCATTTGGCCCGCTTCAGTGGGATTGTGTAAACGGAACCTCTTCATGACTTCTTGGGGGGACTTCCCCTTTTTCTGTGCATAACCGGCAATGCAAGCTTCTAAAAAAACTGCAGGGGGGGGGTCTTTGAGTATTTCTAAACGGTGTAAGCAACAAAGACACCAACACACCTTCGAGGCTCAAATCATCTGTAACGAGTCCCTTCTCCAGTATATCGCCAATATCTCCGACTGTCTCAATAGATGAATGACCCCATATTTTCTGCACAATTCCCTTCACAATTTGATCGGGGGGGACAAGTGGTTGGAATTGTGGCCTGTCTTTGATGGAAGTATGTTGTGCAATAAGCTCTTTCAACTCTGCGAACGGGCCATCTGTAGCTCTGAGGAAGTTGTTGGCAGTGGAAGCCGTAGTCAACAAGGTCATGCCACTGGAGAAAGTGGCCTGAAGGGTCAGAATTGATGAGTCAAATGCATTTGAAGATGCATTCTGCAGGAGGGAAGGCATTCTGGGGTGATTTCTTGTTCTACCAGTGATTTTTGGTTTGGGGGGAACGGAAAATTTTCCTCAAATTTGCATCCGAACTATCAATTTTGATCTAGCAACAAGCCTGAAGAGAGGAATTTGTATCTATGCCATTTCACCAGCCTTTACCCCGTTTGACCCATCCTCTACATTGCAACCTTGTATCAGGTAGCAGACACAGAATTCAAACAGAAAATTGGACATTCTGACCCTTTCCTCAATGCTGCACATCTACACCCATCTGCAACCAACTACAGGCCGATTTCCCCTTTAGCACCCTGTTTGACTTGTTCGCCGGTCCAACACAGTGTGCAAGAGCTCTAAGTGGCACTCCAGAACATCGAGCAGGCTGCGATCGGAGCCGCTATTTGTATTGTAAGTACGGTCAGGGTTTCAATGTAAATAATCGGCATGTGAACGAAATGTCCCTGGATCTGAATCGTGTGTGTCGGCAGAGACAGTGGGGCCCAGGCTGCATCCCTCAATAACCCAAACGGTGTAATCTGCACAAGGTCTATGGAGGTCAGGTGTGTTCAGGTGTGCACGAAACTCAGTGTGGCAGGCTACATCGAAAATGTTGCCAGTGGTTCGTTTGAAGGTGCTAATGGAAGAAAACGTTGAACTCCTAGTCAACATCGACATCATTGCCCTGCACATTACCGAGAAGGAGCCACCTCCTGAAGTCTTAGATGTCGCTCAACACTGGAGAATGATTAGCACCGTTGGAAATGAGCTTCGTGACAGGGGGGCTGATGTAGGAAAGGTTGCCAGGAGGGTGGTCCAACTGCTTGACGAGTTGGAAGTGAACGACGACGAGGATGTGATAGCTACGTGGATACAGATGTTGCCCAGTTGAGTGACCCAAACATCACAACCGATCATTGGAAGGATACAGTATCTTACAATGAAAATATTGCATATGTCATTATTAAACCTATGGGCTGGGCACAAGTGCAAGGCATAAGCTCAGCAAACGTAAAATACATTGGGAAGTTATATGCTACAAATTATTCTAGAGTATATACAAAGTGAACAGAAAACGGTCACAGACAGCTACTGCGTGATGCTCTCCAACTACTACTTGCCGCTTAACTCTTCTGGAGTCGGCTTGTTTGGGGGAGCAGGAGGGCTCTCTGCAACTTTGAGTGCAAAAAGACCAGTTTTTGGCTGCCAGTGAATGGACTCAAACTCTTCTTGAGGCGGGTTTCCTGATCTCTTCAACATCTTGGTTGATCGGAATTCGATGCCCTCGAAAAGCTGCCTCCCAGAATTGGCAATGAAACGGACAACACGAGGGTAAATAGAGTCTTCGGCAGGGTAGATCCGCTGGCGGAATGCACGTTTGAAGCGGTGAAGGCGACAGAGAATGAGACAAAAATGAAGGAGGCCAAAGTACTCTTCTTCACTTAACTCGAATGGCCTACGCAGGCATATTTTTTTTAACACTTCGCATTTGAAGGTCACCTCCACCATATTGAACGGCATACGCCCTTGGCTGGTTGTCGTCATCATAATCCGGAAGTGATTGTATTCAAAGATCCTGTGAATACATGCATGTCCATAGCTCTGTTGCTTCAGATGGTAATGTGTCGGGGCCCTGAGGGATGAGCAGGGGCAGAAAATGTGGTCTTTTATACCTTTCCTAAGGGCTCTGTTTTCACATGTCACTTTACTATTTACATTGCTGAGTAATCTTATATTGAGCTTAGTAATACTCTTATGTAAGCAATCAGCATCCCATTCTGCTTCTAGAACTTTCTGGAAGTTTTGGTGTGGGAATCAACCAATTGCACTGTCTAACACCCATCATGACCTTGTTTACCCTTGTTTACTTACTTTATTCTAAGTCACATGTCATGGGGTTATTTGTTAGCTTAAGAGTGTAGCTTTCCGTCGGTATAAACAACAGTAAACTACGAAGATTATTTATGAAGATATGAATTTTTCAAGATTTAATTTCAAGGTTCTCCAGATTGCTTTGGCATTAGCTCATCCATTTTCTTACAATTAATTCTGGATAAATTATGCCTCGTTCCTGGACTCGAACTCTTTAGTTTCGCATTTCTAGCTCATCCGTTTCTTCCACAAACTTAGGATGTTTGAGCCAGTCTTCTCTGCAAGTGTGTTTTAATCTTGTTAAATCCGTTTCTCTCTCAATTATTCAGATTTTAACATGAAATCTTTTCGCACACAGACCTATACTTCAACTCTTTAAGACTGTCAAAGATTCATATTTTTCCCTATTTTCCTCGTATAAATATTCCCAATTCTTTCATCTTTTCCTTGTACCCGACCATTTTTCATTATGTGAATTACTTGATTTTCTTCCGATTTCTCTTCGTCATTCGTTTCGTACGTTCGTAAAACTATTTTCCCACGTTATCGCGAATTTCTAATATTTTATTTGATACAGGAAACCTTGTTTTTGTTTTCATGTGGGTTTATTTGCTGTTTTTCTTCATTTTCTGAACCATCTTTTAATCCATAGACCTGAAAGTTCGCGTAGATACTCATCCCATTGACTCTGTTCTTCAGTATTTTTCCGATAATTTATTTCAATTCATTTCGCTGAGTTATGATTTTATTACTATTTTTATTTCTGGTCCGCAGAGGTTGTATGATTTTTATCTAATTGTTTCTGGTTGTTTTAGTGTTGTAACTTTTATATTCCTACAGCGGAGATGACGTGGCTTCCTCCATGTGACCCTAGCCGCATGTATATAATAGTGCCTGGGGTGAGAACAGAAGAAGCAGCCTTCTTCTCAACTTCCCACTTCAGGTAAGTACTGTAGCTTTCCCCCTTTAATGATAATCCCAACTTCCCACTTCAGACTAAGTGGTCAGGGATGCTCACCCCGCGACGGATTGCCACTACGCACAGCCGCTATTCGTCCCACCAAGTCCCATGCACAGGGACCTCGCCGCTTTTGGAGCTGTCCCTGACAGTTTTTCACCATATTCCACCCTCCAATGAGGAACTCCCCACCGTTCCAGAGTGAGGGCAAAAGCCTGAGCAGAAGCACTGAGGGTGGAGTCATGGACCTCGGTGTGAGTGCTGTCCGAGCTGTCGAAGATGGTCCCAATGGCTAATTTTTGAATTGGCCATGTCGGAAGTTCCATACCACCCAGTATGGCACATGCATCGAGGGAAATTGTCAGGGCACGCCGCCGCCACCACCTCCTTTCCTTCCGTCTCATCCTCTCATTCTCTCTTCTTTCCCTCTTCTCTTTTTTCTATCTTTATACAGACAACCTCTCTCTTTCTTTCCTACACTTGTAGCACGGACACGCCCGATGCTGAGCACCCCATAGGGGCACCGCCACGCCAGATGCGCTGTGCACTCCTACTTGTACTTCCCCTCCAACACTCGGGATCGACCGTGGAGCCACCCGCGGTAACCCGGCTTTGTCCGAAGGTGACGTGGCACTTCCACGTGACCCGTTCACACATGTATATAAACTAAGCCGAAGCAGGACCGAAGAAGTAACCTTCTTCTCATTTCCCGCTTCAGGCAAGTACCCTAGTTTAGTCTAGCTGTTACGGATACGGAGTCTCCAACGACCATATCCATCGCATGGTCAAAGACTTCCCCTCTCTATCGTTCCTCCCCTCTTTCTCCCTTCCATCCTCTATCCCGATACCCTATCCTCCTTACCCGTTCTACCCCTTTCCCCCCCTCGTGCAAAGCTTTCCCCATTGGGGTTTTGGTGCTGGCCAAGGTTATTTGTGTTTTGCGGGATTTCCCGTGACCTTACCATTTGTAGATAGTCACATGTCTTGTATGGAAACCACCGAAGGCGGTTCCCGCTAACTAACAACTGCTCTACAACTGTCTCATGTATCGTCTTCTGTAACAACCCACCCTGTGACTCAACTGAACCTGTGTGACTGTACAACTCTCAATATGTCTTATAAGTCTGGTTATATCAAGTCCTCTAACGGCCCTCGCCGCGAGAACTCGAGGTCGAGAGTCAAAGACTCTCGACATGTGTATCGTCCTATTGAATCTGTACCCTATGGGTCCTCATCACTCCGCTCTCCCCCCAGTACTCGACATACGACGTCACATCACGATCATGGAGATCGTGAATACTTTGAGGCCCACTTTCCTGTGATGCCGGCACGTTCGCTACACGAACGCCAAGTCGCGCCCATCCACCGTCTGTTCCCTCCTTCGTCAGTCATCATGTTTCCCCCCAACGGTACGTTCCCTTTGGGAATGCCAAGTCACTGAAGGCCCTACTAGTCAGTCCTCATTGCACGCTTATGACATCAACCCGCTACCGGTACGTTCGCACTGCGAATGCCAAGTACCTGATGGCATCTATACGAAGTTCTCACCCATCTCACAAGTCGTGACCTTGCACACAGTACGCTCCATTGAGGAGTGCCAAGTACCCGTGGCTGACCCGTCCGTCCTGGCATCTCCGACTACCTACCATCAATCCCTTAATAGCTCACTACATCACCAATTGTGATCGATGGGAATTCGATCGTCCACTCCCAGGCAAGACTGGGATCACTCATCGATTACATATCCTGTTATGGTACAGACCAGATATGACCTTCGTCATCCCACTATAAGAACGGATTGAGGAATGGGGAATTTCCCCCATCCCCATAACACTAGCTTCCCACCCTAATAACAATACATTTCCCGCTTCAGCCTAAGAAGCCACACAGGGACGTAAGCCCTAGTGAGGGCTGCCCACTATACGGTCTTACTGCCCCGCCGCCGTCTGGGCCGCTAGCGCTGAGCGCTACACCGCTACCTCTGCCTCCCTCGAGCCGTCCCTGACAGAAATGAGGAGGCAATAACAAAGATAGCCTCATAGCTCTCCAATCCGACGTTCGATCCCAACTGTTTCATGGTGATAGTTCTCAAACTCCGCAATCATCTGGGATTGAAGCAGCTTCTCAAGGTAGACATCCGATTCATGCTTGAGTATCGCCATAGTTTCACAATGTGAAGGGAGGATTTCTGTGCGGCAGAGATGAGAAACGGTAGTCTGAACGTGGCGAAGAAGTTGTTTCAGCAATGAGTTCGTGCCTATAATCGAGGTACTCTCCAAAAGTGTAATCCTGCGTCATGAAATCATGACTCCTCATGACGTGTCATGAAATTTCATGACTCCTCATGACATGTCATGACAATTGAATTGAATCAAACATTTTTTACATTGAAAATTTTGGATTTCATGACAGTTCATGACTGCTGGTGACACAATATGACATGATGCCTCATGGAGGTTCATGAGTGGTCATGATGTTCATGAACCTTCATGACCTTTCATGACAGGTCATGAAGGTTCATGGAGTGTCATATGTTTATTTTGACCTTTCCCCATCATGTAAAATGCTATAATGTCCCATGATGCATCATGGACATATGAACATGTATGATGAGTCAATGCATGAGATGTCACAAGCACTTATGAACTGTCATGTGACAGACCTTATTTGTGACAGTGCTGACTGATCAACCTCCAACTCATGGACTTGTGTCAGCACTGCACTGAACTCCACTTTTCCTCCAGCCACCTTTGCTGCTTGGTGTCAGAAACAGTGCTTGAGGGTATTTGTGGGAAGTGGAGCAGAGTATGGCAGTGTGAGTGATCACTTAGCTGATAGGTTACTCCATTGCAAGGCATCAGGGGGTTGGGATGTTGGTTTCAACAGCTCAGTGGGAGCATTGTGCCACATGCTCTAGGCTATCCTGTATTCAGGTGTAGTGGAGGGAACCTGGTGGCGATGTAGGCTCAAGTGAAGACAAAGGTAGAGGTGAACTATTGTCAGGGCATACCCTGCCTGACCCCACGCCACACTGTGCCACCCTACTCCACTTCCCCTGCCATCACTTCTTGCTCCTCCTATCTCACCTTCCCCCTCACCTTTCCTTTTTCCTCTTTCTCTATGTACCACCGGTGCACCCACATACCTGGGAACGCTGCACACCCCTCCTGTACCACTACACCCTAATGCCACTGCCCCTATCACCACACCCACTGCACACATTCCCACCCACACAGTGGCCACCCCCAGGATCTCCCACAGAGACACCCAGAGGGGTGCAGCTGTGTGCAGAGTGACATGGCTCCTTCCATGTGACCTCAGCCACATGTATATAACAGCACCTGGGGTGGGAACTGTCATATCTATACATACCCGATCCCGATCCGACTCCTGGACCCCCATCTTCACCACCTCTGGAGTCCTACCCTACCACCATCCGTTCCAATATTCACCTTTGGACCTGACACCACTCCTCCTCTCACCCCTCATGCCACCTCCACCCTTCCATCCTTCTCCTACCTGTCTCCATCCGCTCTGATACTCACCTCAGACTGAACATCACTCCTCTCACCACCCTCCTCCTCTTACTCCCCACAACACCTCCACCCTTCCATCACTCTCTTACCCTTCTCCCATCCGCTCCGATACTTGCCTTCGGACCTGACACCTTTCCTCTCCTCCACTCCTCACCCCACTCCTCTCTTCTCTCTCTTCC